CCATCACTAAGGTAGCTTCAGCCTCACTCAAGTAACTGAGATTAGCATTTCAGGCTAAATTCTAATACACTCTATCCTGAAAGCACCCAGAGTGATACTATTAGAGAAAGTATCTTCACACATAGCTAAACTCAGCCCGGCGTTACTACCATAAACACTGTGTATTTTTGTGTTCTTCGGTTCTTTCTTTATCAAGTTTCTCTGCTTCTGTTAAAGCTTAGGAATGCGTCGGTCAAATAACCATTAGCAGTTTTCCGCGAGATGCTATTCAAATTCTTTCGACACATCCCTCAGATGCCGTCGCTATTCTTAATAGCTGTCCACTTCTGGTTCAGTGGGACTAAGCGGCGTGAAAGCGCCCTATTAGGTGAAGCATTAATTGGCTATGACACCGATGGACGGATCAAGTTCAAAGAAATTAGAAGGCGATCAGTTGCTGATTAACGTGGTAATCAAACAAGCGTTGAGCTCTATGGTCAAAGTTTGACGCTGTGGAGTTTCTACCGTGACGCGAAGCAAGGCAGACATAAACCCCTCATTCTTTTCGTCTCCATGACCCATCAAGTGTAAGACTGAGAAAGAATAAAGTTTGGTTGTCGAATAGAAGTGATGCATTTTTCTGCTCTTGGCACAAATAAAGTGCACGGTTAACTGGGTAGGGAAAGCGAGAGAAAGAAACAGCGCCGAGCCAAAACGTCTCGAGTGACACCAGGACAAGATAACAACCATGCCGCATGGTAGTTAAACTATGAATTTCATCAGGAATGTCGAATATACTAAGACTAAATAGTAACGATCAAAGGATTTTCGACTAAGACATCAAGGTAAAGAAAATAATAGTAACAATGTGATCTATTTCATAGAACATCAACCATATGAAAAGAAACCGGTTCACAAATTCGATCACTTTGGTAGTATGAACTCATTGTTATGTGCAATAACAAGCAACGCACTAGACACCGTTATTCATGGCACATGAGAGATGAGTTTAAAGAAAGAACTTCAATATTTCCGGGAAGAGAGGCACAAAGCAGCTAAACACCAACATATCTGTTCTCCAGATTGAAGCAAGTTCATTCCGAAATCAGGAATTATTCAGCCATCGTTTGAACCGCCAAATATTCTTGCAGTTACAACCAGCTGCGTCCCCAGATAGTATGCATTCCTCATAAGGTTGTGGTGGCATGATGTACGCTGGCAAATGAGATTGCTGGGATTTTATATGAATGAAAAGCTGATTAGTTAGACCTGAACAACAAAAGTGAGTGGCAGGAGTAACTCGAAATAAGAGCACAAAAATACTGTGCGGAAACATCAATCTTGGTATGTATAGATGGGTCAGTTGTGCTGACTACAAAAGTAAGCTGGTGAAATATCCTAACCAACTTTTTAAAGACCACCTTGTCAAGAAGAAGATGAAGGTGCACGCGGAAGTACTAAAAGCAAAACCTAAGATGAAGGTATCGCCATGGAATAGAGAAGCGAGGATTTTGAACCAAGTATTCGCTTATGTGCAAAAAATCCGTGTACGAAAGCTAAACGAAATCACAAATATTTGAATAAAACTCACGATTTCTGATCTAGCGGCAAACACGCTTTACGTGACCACCAGAGAGCGATGACCATGCTGTTGACTGTTGAGTGTTATCATATCGGGGCTGTAGAGACAATGTGGTAGTGCAGAGTGGAATGGCTTAGCAACCGTTCATTCTCTGCCACTGTTAATTTCCAGATTATAACCCATGCATATTCACTCACTGATTTCTTGTACAACCCGAGCTTCTGATTCCTAATGACCGGACCCAGAAAACGGATGTGACAGTTGATGAATAGTTGGGGCCTCGTTATCCATTTGTTCTAAACACGCCAGCTCTCTGGAACGGCCGAGTCCATTGGTCTTGGCCCAGATGCTCTTTTTTAGGTTAGGCAGTACAGTTGCCACTGAAAGAGAACCTTTGGATCACTTAACACTGAACATTAACTCTTAAAAGCCTGTATCTCTTCATAGAGGAATTTTTCAAAGTAACAGATAATTCAGAAGCACTTCAGGTGGAGCTTCCATATCCCCTACTTGGCCTCGAAAAACGTCGAACGTGTGGTCAAAAGATGCCATCCACCAGATCCTCGATGAAAAGCATTCGAAACGCCCCGGACACCGTGACCAAGGGACCCGCAAAACCTACTTCCGACCCCTTCACGTAATCGCTAGAGTCATCCGGGCTCCTTAAAAAAGGGAAGTGCACCGCCTTTTCACTGGTCTTCAGGGGGGAAAACAGAAGAAGTCCTGGCGGCTACGGGCAAACCGCCCGGCCCCCGGGTAACTTCCACAGTATCAGAGGGTCTGATAGCCAGAGACCTGGGGATTCGTTAACGGGAAGAACACCGTCAACACTGTTTGAGGTGGCTTTCTTGGTGGTTGTTAATGAACTATCAGCCGCAGACCAGTCAACTCATATGATAGCGTCCCACCCACACTACTGCTTCACATGACCGCGTCGGATGAGATAAGCGGACTTCTGATTTCTTTGTTCAAAGCGTACCTACAGGGCAGATAGTTCTGCGCCAAAGTGAACAGAATACGGTTGAAGTGGAGATTACCGACGTCAGGTATATCCCAAGGAGTAATCCATGGACCACTCTATTCCCCTTGTTCGTCGGTGACCTGAGACCCAAAATTTCCACTCCTTTTCTCTGATGACATTGATATTTAGAAGTTGGTGGACCAAATGTCGATTACACCGCACTCAAAAGTGACCTGTAGCAACCAGAACTCTAGTCGTCAAACAATAGCTCGAGACCCAACCCGGAACAGGGCAAAGTAAAGGACACCATTTCCCGCGTGGCGAGGACGGCCGAATTTCAGTGCAAGTCGAGTAACGGTGATATCACCAAAAGACATGCAGTAAAAGCCCTGGTGTTCGACTTCTCGAAGGCTCTAAGTATAAACTAATTGCAGCTAGGACGAATGTCCGTTCGAACTTTCTGGGTGAGCGGCCTGGTGCCTCCACGCCTGTAGTGCTTCTGACAGTTTTCAAAACTTACCTATGGCTGCAACTAGAAGCCCTCAATACAGTATCACTGGTAACGCTCAAGAGACATCCTAGTCTCTTTTAGAAAATATAAAGACCTGTCACAAAATTGGTTTCTAGACTGAGGAGGGAGCCAGACGGTGAAGGACTGAAAGGCACAAATCTACTGTGGGCCAGCGCGGAAAGACAGTTGACCGTAACGCGGCCTGTAAGAACATCCATTAGGTAAGTCATGCAAACTAACCGACTTCACCTGCAACGTAGAGGTCATCACCGCCCTATCTGGATACCACATCCGGGAGCTAACAGCAGCTCGCGTGTAACGCTTTCTTCCTGGGAATATGTGGTTTATGGAATGCTTTACCACAGGGTGTAGTCACGGCATCCCTAACAAACTCACTCAAAGGACAGATAGACTGTGGTGCTATTTCATACGGTTTACCAGAGACATACTCAAGATGTTGCATGCCCCACTAACCCACCACCACTTCCTTCATACTTGCTACTCACCATCTTTCATGCTGATACACCTATATTATCTACCAACTCTTCCCCAGTAACCAAACTCATGCCATCCGCCCCTACCTTACGGGCAAGTACCATTTATGTTTTCCCACTACCTCGCCATTCCCGTTCAGGCCTCCCATGCTTGGCGGACCCATAAAAGATCCCTAGTCTTCCCAGAAAACAGTGGCCTTCTAGCCATCTCAATCCACTATCTACAATTCCTTGCTCACTTCAGGGCAAGCTGAAAAATAGGAACGGAGTCCGGAGAATTAGACCCGAGGGATAAAACAATCAGATTTCTACGCTGGCATCACGGATGGTGGATATTGGATTTTGAATGTTTACACCTAAATGAATAGGAGAGGGCGTCGGGAACAGAGCGTGAAGCTTCGTAAAGCATGTAGTGCTGATCGTCATATAGTTGTCTATAACCATATTTGAAATGCACCACTATACCTGAAAAGAGAGGTGAACCTCCTGGGAAAGGTCCAGAGGCGGGCAACAAATGGTTTTGTGGGAATTGGTTAAAAACCTTATGAGGATGGGCTGAAAGACCTACGGACTCACCCTCTTAGCTTTCGTAGGTTACATGGTGACTTGATACAACATAATGAAATACTAAGTAATCTAAGTCATCAGAACAATGGAATCATACTGGACGGCCACTGTGTTGATCCTCTTGGAAAAAGAGCATGTGCGTTCGCATTTCTTCTCTGTGAGTTTCCGGGCACCGGAGGGTATCGCCTGCGTAGATCACCACTGCTCCGTCTTCAAGAGGTTGAAAATGTCACGCAGCGAGGCACAGCTTGCGCTCGTCTAGCTGAGATAGGGACTAGGTTGACACAACCTACTAACTCGGCACAACTCAACACAGCCAGCTTTATACTGAATCCTTCGTACCACCACTATGATGGAGAACCTGACTCAACCTTATGCTTCGCCGTAGACACCTCCAGTTACCATCCCTTACTAATAGCATTACTATCTCCATTCCCATAGCCAGTCCTGTGAACTTATTCGGTCTTACCCTTCATTCTGACCCTATGATCCCAAGTTGTTTACCAAAGTTCTCCCTATCACTTATTTCCCATGAACCTACCCGGGTTATCCCTTCCTTCCGTTCAGCTTCCTTTACCTTGTTGTTTTTTACTTCTTTTTCTCCTCACTTCCTTTCCCTTGATTTCTCCAGATATCTATTCTGTCCTATTTTCACAACGGCCTCAGTCAATTGTCTGATATCAAGACACCTGAGGAGCCCATCTGCATCACAGTACTCCGAAAAGCCACATCATCCCTATAACCAACACTAAACCACCCGTCTAGCTAACCACAGCTACACCAGGCAGGTGGGTAGACATAGTGTACTGGAATTCACCAAAGACCTGAAACACTTATGCAAGGCCTAGAAGCAAGCGAGAAGAAATTGTAAAACGTTGTTAGACATTGAAACCACGACTTTTTCATGACAATTTGAACGCAGCGTTACTCTTCGAAGTCTTCACTTATTGTGTCACAAAGCAGCTGTACAACCGGTAGTTTTTCATGATACCGTTTGTCGTTTTGCACTTGAAACTAAGATTTACCCACCTGTCGATCGCTACTGGTTTGTAACTTGATGAAAAAAATAAAACTGCTGGATCTATTGCACCTCGAACGTAGATGGATTTAGAGTGAATATAATCATAGTTTTATACTTAGCATTATAAATTCCTGAATGCTGTCTGTACAGACGAAAAGGAGTCAGTCAGAGTCATCCAGCAGAATTTGGAATACGGAAGAAGTCCACAGTTAAAACCCTGAAATTCTGAAATAATTTCAAGCCGCATTATAACCGGCATTTGCTAGTATGACCTACGTGAATATGTTAGTGGCTCAAAGACCAAGTTATCTATATAAGACTTACGTCATGGAGTTCTGCATCGGATATTTTTCCACAAACGTAGGAATCACATTTCTTAAAGTAATTCAGTGTATGGTAATTTCCCGGTTGCTTTTTTATTGATGCCAAGGCAAATTGTTCCTAAGCAATAAGCAGTCACTAGTTTCTGTCATCCTCTTACTACCCAGTTATTCACCCTTACACTAACACTTGGGTCGTATAATTTTAGAAATACGTAGCTATCTTAACCTAGCATTTTTGTGTAGCCACTCCGGTTATGACTAGTAATATATAGGTTGTGGACTCCACCTTTGAAGAAACAGCAATTAAATAGTTGTCTGTGGAGAGTATTATATCTACTTAATACTGCATACCAGTTTTTTGGACATTCAAAATTACGCTGTATTACAGTCTTCGAAAATTGTTAGTAGTTTCAGCGTAATCAGAGACTAAACTTTGGTGGGTTGGCTAAAATTGTCTAGGAAACCACTTTTACTTTCCTAGGTTTTGAAGAATTGGTTTATAAAATGAGCCCCAGTAAGTATTTCAGAAGAAGATAAGACAGTGATTACAGATTGACAAGTGAGTGATCAATCTTGTTGAGATTTCTGCCTTTAGGACGATACGGATATCCTGCCCTACGAACAAGCTGTTATGATCCTTATACAAGTTAAAGACTGAAATTTTAAATACATTTCTTTTGGTGGTTATTATTGAGGTGACAGAAAGTTTGTTGTTGTTGGCTGCCATTTTAAAGATTCTGCTGACCATTAAAAGAAATAAAGCTAGATTAAAAAGATATACAAACAACTGAGAAAGTCGAGTTGTCAAGGAGTGAAGTACTTCACTTATGCTTATATACACACTACTCGTCTTTTGTATCAGTTGTATATGTGATGAAAATCAATAACATTTGGTAAACTGGATGTTTTAGGCATGGAGTTCGTATGGTACATATCCTTCATTTGCTGAAACCGTCCGTATTAATCATTTTTCTGTTTTCAGGTCTATGCTTTTGATGCTCCTGTTATGTCTTATGCATCACCAGTGGATATTTCTCAAGTTTCCGATCCGTCTTTTGATAAAGGTTCTCGTGTGAATGTCTTTGCCCTCGATATTGGAGGGTCACTCGCGAAGTTAGTGTACAAACGTGTTTTTCGGTATAGGCGTTCTATACCGCATCAACCTCACAAGAGTGTTGATGAAAATAAATTGCCCTTTGACTTTTACGAATACGAAGAGCATGAGGATGAAGGACAAAAGTTATGCTTCATGAAATTCGAAACGAGAAACATTGAAGACTGCTTGGAATTCATTCATCTTAACATCATTCGCCAGAGTGCTTCGTCCAACAGAACAATCAATAAAATTAAAGTGACTGGTGGAGGTGCTCATCGCTATCGAGAATTGATTTGCTCAAAGTTGGGTATCGAACTGGATAAGGAAGATGAAATGGAATGTCTTATAAGAGGATGTATATTTCTACTTCGAAATATTCCAGATGAGTTATTCTACTATGATAAACATGCCACTCCGGCACAAATCTTTGTTTCAAGTTGCTTAGTGAGCACATTCCCCTTTCTTTTGGTCAATGTTGGATCTGGTGTTAGTATTTTGAAAGTTGAAAGTCCTACGTCGTATCAAAGAGTAGGTGGGTCTTCTATCGGAGGTGGGACATTTTGGGGCTTAGGAACGCTATTATCTGGAGGTAAGCTTTTTAAAATGCTCTACCACTTCGATATTATTTTCTCTACCAGAAGTATCAGTTTAGTTCCCTTGTAAACTTATTGTGTGAAATGCTTTTGGCGTTCCTTGAGTTTTTTTTCAAGTGTAAGATTCGAATTCATGTTCACCAAAGTGATGAATATTCGGGTCAAACCATATCACCTAATTTTTTAGAAGGCTCACGATCTAATTGTCACAAAGCAAAATTAAATCTGCGGTATTCAAAATAAAGGAGATTCTTTTTTGTAGTAACTAAAATCTATGCCAAAGTATAACATGTGATATAATCGCCACCAAAGCTGCTACCTTGACGTGGTGATCAGGCCTCCATATCACAATGACCTAACGAGCTATGCTGATGGAACGCTTGTTCCCTCGAGGGCCCAACATACCAGAAAGGTCTGTCTGTTGGGTAGTACTAAGACGAAAAGCAGTTGCAGTTGTACTGTAAGTTACCACACTATGATTGGGGTCTGAGGGCGAAGTCATGTTGCTGCCAGCTGGATGGCGTGACAGCAGTAAGGTGTTTCCCTTGAATGACCAGCAGTGCCACGCTAATGCTGCCTTCCCAACAGGAACAAGTGGTGAGAAAAGGTTGACCCTGAGGAACAGTCTTCTGCAGCTGACGACAGAGGTTTCTAAAATCTGGCGTTAGAACAACCAAACCTGAAGACAATATCCCACGAAAGGTCGTGTGTGACAGGCCCTAAACAGACGTCCAAAGGGCTCTGCGGCCACAAGTGTTTTTCTCTTTCAGGTATCTTAAGAAGAAATAGCCTTCCACGGTGCGGGCAGTCAAGAAGGGTCAACCACCCACACAACCGCAGTAGTACACAAGACCTAATAAAACAACCCATTCTCCCCAACACTGTCTCCTCTTTTGCCTTCACCTCCTGATACCAATATAAAGCCTCATACACCTTACCCAACCTCTCAGTCTGCAACCATTGGCAAGGATCAAAGAGATCGAAACCTCATTCCTAGTCTCCTAAGACTCCGCCCACCATCGACTTCATCTAGGAGCTGTCAACGTGCCAACCCATCCCAAATTGGACAGCAAGCATTGCTCGCCAAAACTCTGGAATCTCGATCCATACGTGTGTGCTGTGTCTGAGACACGTATACAGACAGGACCTGAGTGTGGTTATCAAAGTGACCTCACCTAGCCATAGCAGTGAATCCTAAAAAACTCACCTTACGACTAAATGAAGACCCACTGACTAACTGTCGTGGGATCGCTGATGTAGGCATAGCATTGGGTTGTAGAGCGGAAAGTGAGCTCCTCGACTAGATACCAGTAAACAGTCGTTGATGTGCTGTTCGACTGGACGGATCTGTAAGGACTCAGAAGGATCGTGAGACCAACCGATGCCTATTCGTAGTCTCCGTCTACCCATCAACCAACTGTAGTTCAGTTGGTACAAAGGACGAATTCTATGAAGAGCTGTCAACTCTGCTACAGAAAGCAAAGTTTCCAGATGTATTCAGAGTGACAGGTGACTTTAACGCTTAAGTAGAGAGGCTGAGCTGAGCCACTTAGAAAGGCATCTTCATGGTATTTATGGAATCCCATACCAACGAATCGACAGAGGTGATCATCTATTGTAGTTTCGTTCCGACAATCGCCTATTTCTGGCCAGCACTAACTTTAGGCTTAAGGGGAGACACTGCCTCATAGTGTCTACCGAATTCAAGTCAACAATAGACATAGATAGATCACATCGCTATGAGCCAGCCATCGTTGGAGATGATCAGTGGAGGATTACCGCTCTTTGTGGAGTGCCAGTTTGGACTCCGACCACGCGTTAGTACAACCTCGTGTATGTCTCCACCTCATTGGTCGCAGGAAACTGGTGATCGTAAAGCCTGTCCATGGTTGGCTGGAAAATGAGAACGTCAAGCACGCATTTAGGGAAGAGATAGGTAAGCATTTATCTGAACGTGACAGCAATTCTCATGCTGAGGAAACCTGGTGTGGCGTGAAATCAATTCTGTTTATAGAAACAGTGGTAAACACAATTGGTAACCTACACCTGAAGGTTGGCAAACGTCATTGAATTCCCACGACATCATCTGAACTGGTTAATACGAAAAGACTGAATCCAGTGGACTGTGACCATGGTGAAGAGCGAAAGCAACGTAAACGTAAAGTGATCGAGAGTCTTCGTGTCGATCACGAACAGTGGTGGGTAGCGAAAGCGAGAGAGATGTAGAAGGCATCATCAGTGGGTCGGCCATACTCGTCAACTATTTCGGGTTATTAAGAATACCAGCAAGAAGAAGACGATAGTGAGTGAAACCATCACCGAAAAGAGTGGGACGCTAAAAACCTCCTAGGACAGGCGGCTACAACGTTGGGTAGAAGACTTTGAAGCACAGTCCAACTGACCCACAGCAACGCTTCAGTTGCCCAACATCCAGTCTGAACCTGAATGGCATGTACATATCGGTCCTTCAACTCTCCTTGAAGTTGAGAAGGCTGTATTGAACCTGAAACGCTGCAAAGCAGCAGGACCTGACAGTTTACCACCTAATGTTTTCAAGGAAGGAGGCGGGAAATCGCTGGTTAGAGTGACGGAGGTATTAGGTGGTATATGGGAGTCAGAGGTAGTGCTGTCAGACTGGTCTACTTCACTGATCATCCCAGTGTATAAGAAGAGGGAGAAGTCTTCTTGAAACAATCATGGGGGAATTAGTTTGACTAACATTGTGTCCAAGATTCTAGGCTACGTAGTTATCTGACGCTTAACTGGAGCTGGAGAACAGGAAACTCGAGAGAACCAGACAGGTTTCGGATAGAGCTGAACGAGAGCACATCCATCAGATTTTCACCCTCCAACAGGTTCTGGAACACAGGCACACTTACCCCCAGTGGCTGACACTTGTCATATTTTTTGACCTAAAGACAGCATTTGACTAAGTTGACCGTGAGGTGTTGTGTCAGTGTCTGACTGTGAAGGTAGTACCTAGCACACATATAACGCTAATCAAGGCTCTCTACTCGAACTCACGTAGCCGTGTCACGACTTATGGAGAGTTGTCATCAGAATTGTCGACAACTAGTGGTTTCCACCAGCGATGTGCATTGTCACCGTTCCTATTTAATTTCGTCGTTGACATACTAATCTACGTAACCTTATGACTTCACAGGGATTGGTTTACTCCCTGGACGTTATATCGTTGATTTGGAGTGGGTGGACGATGCCTTGGACATGTGTTGTGCATGCCAAACCACCACCTACCTCGACATGCCATGCTGGAGGAAGTTGGATTAAGTTTAAATAGGGCTCAGGGTGACCAGACCGAGACCTGGCACCAGTCGATCAAGTCCCTCCCTGACTGTTAGTCTGAGTCATCTGGAGAGTTGTAAACTGCTTGGTTGGGGTCCTGGAGACGACGGCAGTGTGGTTGAGGATTCTTGGTGAGATGGTTGAAAATCGGTGACAATGGCACAGATGTATTCACTTTTTGATGTCTTCTAAAGATTGAATGTTTGCACTAACCGTTGTCTTCAGATTGTTTGTTCTCTCACACAACTTTATCTACTTAGATATCACTCTTTTTCTGTCCTCCTGTTCTTTATATAGTACTGTGAAGTGTGGCAACTTGGGCTGATACACCTGTGTGCAAGGTTCTAGGTGGATTTTGCCAGACAGTCGGTCTGTCAGCTGAAAGAATTCGTAGTTTGTTTTCGGTGATTTTTAATTACAGCTCTAAAGAAGTAGTTGCCTAAGGTAGCACCTGTGTATTTGTGCATTTTATACACATTCATTTGTGTTCCTGCAATGAATGATAAGCAGTAACTTTTATTTGTACACCTATATATAAGCTTTATTCCTCGAATATAATCGTGTCATGCTACTCATTGTTTTCACGTTGTAGCGCAGCTTTATTCTCAGTAGCCTATATTAATTTGGTTTTATATACTACTAGAAGTATGCTGGCAGTTATGATTTCGTGACTGCCCATATTGTTTTCGCCTGAAGCTGAGCGGTCTGGCAAGTGGCCTGTTAGGTCTTCCTATACTAATGGCCACAGCTGGTGCGCTGACTCAGCTCTTCTGGTCTCGATTCTGCCTATTTGCACCTCAGCATTCACACTGGGTCTCTTCACGAAGGTTACGACCGAATCTAGTACACTTTTGAGTGATTTCATCGACACACTAGTGGCACTGTCCACAACAAGCTGTACTCAGAAGCCTGTGGGCCTGTTAAAGCCAACATTGAGGTCTCAGATGAGTTGTCTTTATCGAGTGATGTCCGTCGAAGAAGTCCTCTCTATCCATTTTATCCAACTTTATCTAAGACGTAATTTTACAACTTTCCCTCTCATCGCCATGCTTTTCAGGGATTTACCTTGTCGCAGGCAGATCCTCAGTGGAACTGGACTGCTTAAATGCTAGATTCCTGTTAGTTGAATACACTAACAGGACCCGGAGTCTTGTCGACACCTTGAATAGGAAATTGAGAATAATTGGGATGGGTACCTCAGTAACCAAATGCAAAATGTTGCTTCAAGATATGTCCGCTTTTGTGTCTCATCTAATAATAAGGAGTCAAGTGATTCAACGGGCTTACTACTTCACTAATTCGGGTAATCGGATCAGCCCTGATGGGTCAGTGACCAACGAAATCTCTACATGGATACAAAAGGGCTCTCTTAGGTTTCGTGGAATTACGCCATGTGTTGCTCTGATGGGAAACTCCATAGTTCATTGATAGCTGAGTGTACTACACAGCAGTTTTCTCTGTTCTGTTTGGTTGTGAAGTGAGACCCACAAAAGTGGAGCATATCAGAAGACTTCTGGAACAAGGTTGCCTACTATCACCCAGGATATTCCTGATTGTGGTCGACTAGACTGGATCATGCAGCAGACAACAGTGGGGAGCTGTGAGAAGAGGGGGATACGCGGCTGGACTGTGGAAAGAACCTAGAAGATTTGGATTTCGTTGATGACTTGTGTCTGATGTCACACAAACTTGAAGATCTACAGGCGAAAACTAACAAGTTGTCAGAAGAGGCAGGGTAGCGAAGGGAGACGGCTTCAAGTGAATATAGAGAAGACAGAGGTGATGAAGATACCCAACCAACAACAACAAACACAACAACAACACAACGAACTCCAATCACGATAAACGGGAGGAACTCAAAGGAAGTAGCCTTTTTCACCTATCTAGGGGCGAGGCAGCATCATTTCAACTACAGGTGGGACAGACGAAGACGCCGAAGCCAGCCAGGATTGGAAAGACAGCAAGACAGGCGTTCATTAGCCTGAGACCAGTGTGGAGATCTTCTGCACTGCACTCAGCATAAAGCGTGAACAAGATCCGGATTTTCAACACCAATGTCAAGTCAGTGCTTCTATATGATCCAGAAACTTGGCGTGTCACAAGAAGCAGTTCCAACAAACTATACACATTCATCAACAACTGCCTACGCTGGCTCGTTACTGAAGCTCAGATGACCAGAAT